CTCAGCATAATGTCCTCCAAGTTCATCCACGTTATGCGGTGTTTTGCAGATTCTACATTATTCTTTAGCGTGGCATAGTATTCCATTGTGTGTATGTACCATAGTTTGGTTATCCATTCCTCAGTTGTTGGACATCTAGGTTGTTTCCAAGAAATTTACTACTTTCTTAATGAAAATATTCCTGTAGTTGTAACAATGAAAACATTTTTCATAAGCCTGTGTGTCAATGTATCTACAAGGCTAAAACTCTATGCTAATTTACTTTTTGAACCTCCTAATGCTTCCTGGTAGCATAGTGCCTAAGGCACTTGACTGCTAACCAGAAGACTGGCGGTTCAAACCCACCAGCCACTCCTCGGAAGGAAGATGGGGCAATCTACTTCGGTGGTGATACTGCCTCGGAAACCCAAGGAGGGGTCGCTATGAGTCGGGTCCGGCTCGACAACACATAACAACAACAATGCTTCCTGAGGGAGTTCGCAGTGCCTAAAGCATTCGACTGCTAACCAAATGCTTGGTGGTTCAAACCCACCAGCCGCTCTGCAGAAGGAACACTGCTGGGCAATCTACTTCCGTAAAGATTTACCACCTCGGAAACCCAACGGGGGTTGCTATGAGTTGGAATCAACTGGATGGCAGTGCGTTTGGTTTTTTTGGTTACTGCTGTCCGGTCGGGGGGAGCTCTGGTAGCATAGTGGCTAAGACACTTGCCTGCTCACCAGATGGCTGGCGATTCAAACCCACCAGCCACTCCTCGGAAGGAAGGTTGGGCAATTCTACTTCCGTAGTGATACTGCCTCAAAAACCCAAGGAGGGGTCGCTATGAGTCGGGGCCGACTCGACGGCACATAACAACAACAACAACAAGCTGTCCGGTCAGACCTGTGGATTGCTCAGTTAAAATGATGATTTAAAGCATTAGGTTCTGTCTGCATGTGCTGCTAGCATGGGCTGTTGGGTTCCTTGCTGTAGTTCTTATAGTTGATGGTTTTGTCAAATTTTCTGGTGCTTTAGCTACAATGTTGTGGTAAGTGGTACCTGTGAACCTACTGTCAATAACTATTGAAAATGAAGTAGTAATTAAATGAAAAGGAGAAAACCAATTTTGTTGTTAGTCATGTAATCTAAGAAATATTGCCATAAAGTAATTTACAACTGTTATGAATCAAATTGAAAATAAATTCAATTTTTGGTGTAAAGATATGGTGCAAGAGAGGTCTATGAGGAGAGTGGTGCTACCGCTCTGGTTAACGCCAACCGTCGCGCGGTCCCTGTTTCCCTGCTCATCTGCGCGCATGCGTGTGCTCACACATGCGTTTACTCACCTTTCCGGTGCAGGCTGCGGGGAGGCTTGTGGGGTGTGGGCCGGTGGGTGAGAACCACGGAGGCCCTCCTGCCCCACCCCTGTGCCCTTAGCAGTTCCAGGGGCTCTTCCGTTTGCGTTCCCAGATGCCTCGCTCCAGGCGGCCTCAGGAAGGGCGGCGACGCAGCCTCAGGGCTCTGCCTCCACGCCCGTCGCTGGGTGAGTGTGTGTGGCAAGCCACTTCACCTCAGGGCCCTTTGGTCAGCCCGCCTAGAGAAGTGATGAGAAGGCCACCTCGTTCTCGGCCAGCTGGCCCGCCTGTGGCTTGGCGGCTGGCACGAGGGCTCTGGCAGGTCCCGAGCTCAAGGTTTTACGTATGTCGTGTGGAAACCTCCCACTCGCTGGCCCTGTCCGACAGGTGTTTGAAGGCTGGCTGTTCAAACCCACCAGCCACTCACTCCTCAAAAGGAAGGTGGGGCAGTGTACTTCCATAGAGATAGCGCCTAGGGAACCCAAGGAGGGGTCGCCATGAGTCAGCACCAACTTAACGGCAGTGAGTTTGTCGTTTGGTTTTTAGTGCTGCTCTGACAGAAGTACCACAGCTGCATGGCTTTAGCAAACAGGAGTTTATTCTCTTACAGTTTGGAGGCTAGAAATCCTAGTTCAAAGGGCCAGGCTCCAGGGGCTGGGTGAGAGCCCCTCGACCTTGCGGTCCAGCTCTGCCTCCTGCTCCCGCCCGGTTGGAGCTAAAGGCATCGTTCGCTCAGACAGCTGCTGGCTGCTGAGGCTGAGAAGCCCCAGGGTTGACAAGTAAAAAGGCACAGTCCCGATGTTACCAAACCACACGGCAGGCCACAGAGCCAAGTGCACCACGAGCCCCAAGATCAGCGGACAACATGGCAGGTGTCGCGGCCGGCGTGACAATTCTAGAACAGGGGGTAAGAGAATGAGTTAAAAATGAGAGAAAAGTTAAAGGATGGGAACGGGAGGGACACTCAGAGCCATTGCAAAGCAGTGCCCACTTTATTATAATTTTTCTCAAACTTATATACAGGCTTAACATGGGAAAAGTGCATGATTCATATGTCATACAATCAATCACAAGTTAATCAATATTGGGAAAAGTACATGCATACGCAATTGGCATATGAAATTTAAACTAACATTCCTGTTCCCATAATTCAAGTCACCACAACTCAGGTCACCATAACCTCTTAAATTCTATACTCATTCTTCTATGTAACTAAGTTCCCTAGCAACTAGTTTAGATTGGCTTCCGCATATTCTGGGTGCAATGAAAGGTTATGCCTCTCATGCAC